GTTTATATAGTTGCAATTTATTCTTATACTACTTATGTTTTTTGGTTATTTGGTACTTGAATGTTATTTTGTAGTATTTGGTACTTGAACTATGTGTTTATGTATTTTAGGTATTTGGTTATGTTATTTGGTACTTGAGTTTTATGTTTTTTTATTTGGTACTTGTGTTGATTAATAGGTTCCTCATGGATCACAACAAAAAGATACTACTCATAATTCTAATGTACTTGTACGTACGCTACTTTTGGAAGAGGGGTGTCAAACGAGTGCGCCAATGATTCGGAAATGATGGGACATGAATTTACGTTAGAGTTACTTCACCATAATCCTCTACAATGTCTTGAAGTGCTACGCATTTCCCGTGAATCATTTGTTCGGCTATATGCTCATTTTAGAGTAAACTACGCGTTAAATGATAGCAAATATGATGTAACACCCAAAATCAGAAAGGCCAAGAAAGGAAAGAAAATCTAAGTCAAAGGGGTCAACTCATCGAGTCCAGGGAGGAACTCGACGAGTCGAAGCGGGATCCGGGGGATCACTTAAGTAACCGACTCGGCGAGTCGGCAAAGGGGACTCGGCGAGTCTGGTATGATCAAGGAAAACCTTAAATCCGAGACTTGGAGCCTATTTAATCGTGTCATTCTCTTCCCTAGGGTTCCTTTACTGCCTCTATAATCCAGAACATCGAACCATATCCGCCATATTCGTTTTTGAGCAAAGATCTAGCCTTGGAGTTGTGACTTGAAGCTTGGAAGAGAAGGAAGTTCATAGTGGTGCAATAGGAAGCCTTGGATCCAGAGTTGGTGTGACTTTTCAGAGCATTTGAAGGTAAGAAGTCATTACCTTCACTCCTTTGCTCATAGTTTCCTTTTGTCATGAGATTTGGGGCTTTTATGCCATGTCCTAGAGCCAATTGGAGTTAGAAGTCCAGATCTGAAGTTGCTGCTTCAGATCTAAGTGTATTCTAGCCTAAAGAGTCATAAAGTATCAGTCTTGGGGGTGTAGGTGAAGCATGGTTGTCTTAAACCCGAGTATGGAGTGTTTTGGGCCTAGATATCCTTAGCTACACGTAAAGCTTGCAACTTTACGTGAGGAATAGGCCTTGGAAGAATGGATCTACAGTTTGGAGTCCATGCATGACTCAAAAAGCTTCTGAATGTATAAAACACTGAATAGACTTAGTGAGTCCTTCGAGTGGACTCAGCGAGTAGTATGAAAATTAGGAGGAACTCGACGAGTTGGATGAACAACTCGGCGAGTCTGTTGAAGTTTTCCTTGGACCCGGCGAGTCAGGTCGCGAAACCCCGAACCCTTCAAGCTAAGACTCGAATCAGTGAGTCGAGTGGAGACTCAGTGAGTTGGACAAAACAAGACTCGGAAATCGGTGGACTCGACGAGTCATAGGTTGACTCGGCGAGTCGAGTCGCGAATGGAAGGACTCTAAGCATATGAACTCGACGAGTCAGTAGGCAAAATCGGCAAGTAGGGTTGACCTGGAAGGTTGACTTTGACCAGAGTTGACTTAGTTGACTTTTGGAGGACAATTCGACTAAGTGTTATATTGGTATTGATAGCTCGGGTTGCTAGTGGAACCACAATTCAGAAGAGTTGTCGGGCAGCAGCAGAGGGGTTTCAACAAGTTCAGTAAGTGCAAGTGAGTTTCCCTTTGTGTGAATGGGTCTAAGGCCACAATGCCGACCCATGTAGATATGAGTAGGAAGACCCAGGGGTTAGCCCTATGCACTGTATGCCAGTATGATATTTAGGACCAAGGTCCATTGATAAGCGGGCGGGTACCCAAGGAATGGTTTGCATGATAGAGTATACTTGTTGTCTGTGTCAAGCTTGTATGTGCCTGGTAGGGAGGTGAGTGTGGGCGAGGCCCCATATCTCACCAATAGTAGAGTGTGGATGGTGTTCCACATCTCATTAGCAGCAGAACAGGGGCGAGGCCCAAGTTAGGGAAAGAGTGAGTATGGGTTGGGCCCGTATCTCACTATCAGTAGGAGTGTGGATGGGGTTCCATGACTTATCAGTAGCAAGACAAGGGCGAGGCCTAGGATAGGCGAGGCCTTAGGACAGAATCCATTAGTATATGTTTAGCTTATGTGTTGTGATATGTTTATGTGCTATTATATGTTAGCGGGCGAGGCCTAGTGACAGGCAAGGCCTAAGTGAAACAGATCAGTGTCCGAGCGGGGCTCGAAGCCAGGCGGGGCCTGGAGCAGCGGAGTCGTTGTAGCGGGTGAGGCCCAGAATAGCGGGCGTGGCCCAGTATGTGCAGTATGTGGTTATGCATGGTATGTGGTAGGTTGGGGAACTCACTAAGCTTCATGCTTACAGTTTTCAGTTTTGGTTTCAGGTACTTCCGGTAGCGGAGGGAAGAGCTCGGGGTGATCGCATGGCACACACCATAGATTAGACAGTCTGGGAATGTTTTACTCTGATAATGAACATATGTTTGGAAATTAATACTCTGATTATGTTTTGGATTGATGATTATGCTTTAAGTAATGTTTTATTAAAATAAATTTTTAGTCTTGAATTTTGGGACGTTACATATGTGTCGGTTGAAGAGAAGATGACTAAGTTTTCGATGATGATCGGTCATAACCAACGTTATGTGATTATCAAGCGGGGATTTAAACACTCAAAGCAAACAATTCATAAGTTTTTTCATGAAGTGTTGGACAAAATGTTGCTTTTCGCATATGACATTATAGTACCAACTTTTTTTAATCGAATCCAAACATTCTAGGACATAATAGGAGGCTACGGCGGGTGTTCAAGAGAGCAGTTGGTGCACTTGATAGCACTTTAATACATGTTGTTGTCACTGCAAACAAACGAGATTTATATAGAAGTAGAGGAAAAGGCGATTGTTACCAAAACATATTGGCAATATGTGACTTCAACATGATGTTTGCGTTTGTTGTGGCCGGTTAGGAAGGGATAGCACATGATTCTAAAATTTTATCAGAAGCGTTAGCAAATCCACATGCACCATTCCCGCTTCCACCACCAGGTAAATTTATGGTTATTTAAATAGTTTTATCTTAGCTTGAAAAATAAATAACTTTTTTTTGTTTTTTTACAAATAAATATTATCTTTGTGATGCCACCTATGCAAACATTCAAGCTTTTATGGCACCATACCGTAATGTGAGGTATTAGCTTGGAGATTTCTATTGAAGACGTGCATTAACGAATATATAAAAATTTTAACCATGCACACGCAAAACTTCAGAATGTCATTGAGCGTGCTTTTGGTGTCTTGAAAGCACGATTCCCTATATTGAAGAGGATGACATCATTCTCGTTGGTTACCTAACGAAACATTACCCTAACATGTTTTGCGCTTCATAATTTTATAAGAAGAGAGGGACTACGTGATGAGTTTTTTGCACGATATGATGAACCAAATGTATCGGTTCAGAATAACAATGCAGTCATTGATAATGATGATGATGAGATTCCAACATATGGTACTGCAGCGGACCGTGAATATATGACCGAATTACGGGATGAAATTGCCGAACAATTGATGCAAAATATGGAATGAAAATTATTAAAGTTTGGTTGTATGAATTTTATTTAAAAATGTTATTTCAATGTTTAAAAACTACAATTATTAAATTTTTTGTATTAAAAAACTATTTTCGGTTTATTAAATTACTTTATTTTAAATTTTTTAATAATTGCAGCAGTCAACAGACGTTAAAAATACAAACATACTTCTCATTACAGTCTGCAACACTTTAGTCCATCTCTTCTGCTGCAGAGGGCTGCAAAGGTGGTCCGCAGACTTTAGACAATTTCACTCGAAAAAACGAACAACACCTAACTTATTATCAACATCAATGCTTTTCAAAAATAAAAAATGATGAGAAAATGACAAGTGTCATTTTTATAAAGCATTGAAAAGAAAATATAAATTATGAGAAAATAACAAATTGTAATAATAATATTTTTTTATTAGTATAGAAAGATTAGATGAATATTCGTACGTTATACAAATTAAATATAATTCTTAGTTTTTAATTCTTATATGACTAAGTGAATAAAAAATTATTTATTTGATTATTTTTAAAATTTTGACTCATTGTTTAAAATATTAATGTCTACAAGGTAATGTACTTTATAATTTTGTGTTATTGCAAATTATTATTATTATCTAATTTTTTAAGCCAATTATTATTATCAAAAATTTATAGAAGATTAAAAATTTAGGTATAAAGCTTTTCTTGTATTTATCTCACATTAACTAACAAATTTATGTATTATTAAAATTTTGAAAAATCTTAAGAGTTTATTAGAAGTTTGAAATGTCAGTGGATTTTCAATCGTAATATGCTGCAATGAATTTTGTATATTAATGTTTATAAGATAATGTAATATAATTCATATTTTTACGTTATTACTAATTATTGCTATTAATTAATTCAACATACCTATTATTATTTAAAAAAAAAAAAAGAAGCCTAGAATTTAGGTATAAAGTTTTTTCTTGTATTTATCTCACATTAATTAACGACTTTATGTGTTATCAAAAATTTTAAAGATCATGAGAGTTTATTAGAATTTTAATAGGTCATGGAAGTTTATCAAAAATTGTTATGGAAGTTTCAAAGTAGGGATAATATCACTGTAGCACATGGAACTTTTAACGTTTGGCTAATTTGGTCCTTAAAGTTTTTTTTTGGTACATTAGACCATTAAACTCGTAACTGACCTTTTAATGACATCATTTTAGCAACTTTTAGAAAGTTTCCCGGTTATACGATGCCATTTTGTCAATTAATATATATTTTTTGTCTAATCCGATGCCAATTGAGATATGCCACATCAATTAATGAAATACGACGCTTAAAGCCTTTCGTCTTCAGCTATCGAACTTCAGTAGTCTTCTTCTTCATTATTGAGCTGTAAAAGAAACTGATTTAGGGTTTGTGAAGCATTCCTGTGATCGAGCTGAAAGAAACAAAGAACTCGCAACAATGGCACAATCGGAACCTAATGGACTATTTGCGATGTGGAACTCAACTACCAAGGGGTATTTAATCGAAATCCTTTCTCTTACACTAGTGGTGTTAAAACCATCTTCAATGATGTTGACTTTTCTTCTATGACTTATTTTGAGTTTATGACCTTCTGCGAACGTTTCATGCATGAAGAGTGTAAAAAGTTTTACTACTGTGAACCAGACATGTCCTTCATGGAAGGCTTAATCCCATTTCAGATGATGTGGAATATTCTGCTTTTATTTTTGATGCTTATGGAACAGATGGTGTAATTTCGGTTTATGTGGATCATATTGGGGTTGGTGTTGATGGGTGGCATGATGATGAAGATAATGATGATGATGAACATGAGTCTTGTATTGATGGTGAAAATGAAGACAACATAGATGAACTTAGAAATGTTGCCTTTGAATTTAATGAGGATGTAGTGCATATGAATAGGACATCAAATGATCCTTTCTTGAGTAAGCTATGTGTTGATGATGAGGATGCAAACAACATTGTAGATGATGACAATGGGAGAGAAGTTGAAGTTAACATACAAGCTCATTCCATATTTAATGAGCTATTACACTGGAAAAAACAAAAACCAATTCTAGGGATGAGATTTAAGGGTCCAGGGCAAGTAAAATCAATGTTGTGTAACTATGCTGTAGCTAATGGGTATCAATTGTGTTTTGAAAAAAATGATCGGACAAGATTTTTGGTGAGGTGTAAAAAAGGTGCTTGCACATTTAGATTATGGACTTCCTGGATGAGTGATGAAGAGAGTTTCCAAATCAAGTCACTAAAAGCTAATCATAATTGTGCTAGGAACTTCAAGTTTGGATCATTGGTGACATATGCATGGATTGGGAGTCACTATACCAAAGAGATTGTAGAAAGTCAGAAAATAAGTGTAAGGAAGCTTAGGTTAAAGGTAATGGCCAAGTTTGGTATCCAAGTTAGTATGGGGCAATGTAGAAGAGCAAAGAAGTATGCACTGAAACTTGTTGAAGGAAACCTTGTTGAACATTATGGTAAGCTATGGTCATATGGTCATGAGATTCTAAGGACAAATCCTAGGTCAACTGTGAAACTAGATATAGAGGATGGGCCAGATGGAAAGAAATATTTTAGCAAGTTCTATTGTTGTTTTCAAGGAGTTAAACAAGGTTGGATTGAAGGGTGTAGAAGGGTAATTGGTCTTGATGGATGTTTTCTTAAAGGTGTTTGTAAGGGAGAATTGCTTTGTGCTATTGGGAGGGATGCAAATGACAAGATATATCCTATTGCTTGGGCAGTGGTTAATGTGGAGAACAAGCAGAATTGGAAGTGGTTTCTAGAGCTTCTCATTGATGATCTACACTTGAATTTAGGCAATGGTTTCAGTTTAATGTCAGACCAACATAAGGTTAGTATTTTACATAGTAATGCATTTATGTTAATTTTAGACTATCTGAATTTAACCTTTTTACTAATACAGGGTTTGATAGAGGCTGTTAAAGAGTTGCTGCCATATGTAGAGCACAGGCAGTGTGCTAGACATATTTTCCAGAATTTGCAGAAGAGATTTACTGGTGCCATATATCATACCTTGTTTTGGAGAGCATCTAAAGCCACAACTGAGCATGCTTTTAAAGTTGTGATGAAAGAAATTGAGACATTGAACCCAGAAGCCCATCAATATCTCATGGAGAAAGATCCTAAAACATGGTCTAGAGCTTTCTTTCAAACTGGAAGGTGTTGTGATGCAGTTGAAAATGGGTTCTCAGAAAGTTTTAATGCTGTAATAGTAGATGCTAGGAAGAACCCATAATAACCATGTTAGAGGAGATAAGATTATACATGATGGACAGAATCTACAACATGAAATTAAAGGGACAACAATGGGGAAATCATATTTGTCCAGAGATAAGGGATAAGGTGAATTTGCTTAAAAAGCTCAAAGGCATTATCAGGTACTACCAAGTGGATTAAACCAGTTTGAGGTAAGGGGAGCAATAGATGCATATGAGGTGGACTTAGAAAGAAAAACATGCTCATGTAGGTTGTGGCAATTGAATGGATATGGATGTGCTCATTCTGTAGCTAGCATATCCTTTCTTAATAGGGATGTAGAAGCCTATGTAGACAACATGTTTAGCACAACCACATTTAGAAAGGCATACAATTACAGAATTGCTCCCATGAATAGCAGTGACATGTGGCAGAGACAAACTATACTCCACCATTGCCTCCTATTAATAGAAGGATGCCTGGTAGGCCAACTACTAAGAGGAAGAAATCCACTACAGAGAATACAGGAACACACAGGGTTTCTAAGGCTGGAAAGAAAATCAATGTAGTATTTGCAAGGAGATAGGTCACAACAAGGCCACTTGTCCACAGAGAAGGCCCCAAAAGTTAAATGTGAAGAAACAGAAGAAACAAAAAGTATGTGTGAACCAAAATGCAGGACAGGTAAAACAATTTAAAATATAAGATTAATTACATATAATTTGTTACTAATAATTATATCATGCCATGTAGGGTAGTACAAGTGAACCACAAAACATGAAGAGGTTGAAATGACTCCAATTGAGATGGATACTACTCAAAATGATATGCAAGTTGCTCCTACTGATGTTGAATCTAGTAGTGCAGGGGATTTTATTCAATATGTGCAATTCACTCCACCTAGAAGTTATGAAGGTGATGAGGGTGTTATGGGTGAGGAAGCTGATGTGGTTGAGGAAGCTGTTGTGGTTGAGCAAGTTGTTCAAGATGAGGAGGCTGAGGAGGTTGATCCTGTTATACAAGTTGATAATGTAAATGTTCAGGAGGTTGATGAGGTTAATCATAATGCCCAAGTGGATAATGGTAATGTTCAGGAGGTTGCTCCTGTTAACCAAGTTCAGCAGGTTTGTGTTAGGCCAATTTCAGATATTTTGAAGAGGATAAGGAGAAGAAAGTCAGAGAGAATACTAAAGCTGAAATTAGGCAAAACAATTGGTGGTGTTGATGATCCAGGAAATTCGAAGGGAAAAGCTCTTGTAATTGATTAGTGTTTATTGTAATTTGTGTTTAGAGTTTATGTAATGAGATGATGATAAATTGGATTTTAAGTTTATGTAATAGGATGATGGTAATTTATATTTAAAGTTTATGTAATAGGATGTTGGTAATTTATATTTAAGTATGTGTGACATTAAAGGGTATTTTGGTCATTTAAGTATGTATGAAATAAAAAGGGTAATCTGGTCATTTAAGTATTTATGACAGAAAAGGGTATGTTGGTCATTTATTTATTGATGACAAATAAGGGTATGTAGGTAATTCATTTATGTATGCAAGAAAAGGGTAATTTGGTCATTCTGTATTTATGACAGAAAAGGGTAATTTGGTCATTTATTTATTGATGACAGATAAGGGTATGTAGGTAATTCATTTATGTATGCAAGAAAAGGGTAATTTGGTCATTTAAGTATGTATGACAGAAAAGGGTAATTTGGTCATTCATTTATGTATGTAAGAAAAGGGTAATTTGGTTATTTAATTATGTATGATAGAAAAGGGTATGTTGGTCATTTATTTATGTATGCAAGAAAAGGGTATGTTGGTCATTTATTTATGTATGACATGAAGTATGAAAGTATGTTACCATTTTAAGTAAAATCATGACATTTGGCTTTGAATATTTATGCATGGAAAAAATTGGAATAATGTGCATGCATGGGGATGTTTTATATGGCCCCGGATTTGGTTTTTTAATGGCTTCACAGGTCCCATTTTTTCATTATTAAAATGGTCCCCATACACATAGTGTACTTCCACATGGACCACTTCCTAATTAAATATATTTGTTGGGAATATAGACCATGCATATGTTTGATAAACATCATCTGATTATACAAAATGCCCTACAATTGGGACTTTGAATATTTTTTTACATTACTTATCATATGCCCTTTCATTAGGGACTTACCACCTTACAACATCAACACATTAAGGTTGATAACCCCAACTTATAACTAAAACCAGCTTCAATACATACAAAATGCCCTTATGGAACTGACTTTCTAGTTGCCTTTACAAAAAATACAAGGGATCCCAAAAAAACAAAAGCTTACCCTAACCAACCAAACTAACTACATTGCCCCCTAACTTCAAAACACATAGGACCAAGCAACCAAACAACAGGCAACTATCATCCTGTACCTGCCTATTGACTTCATTGCATCATGAACTTCTTTCTCACTCTTTGCCACCTTATACTGCTCCTGTGACAGCAAAACTCCACTTCAGCAATCCTTCTCCTCAAATTGTTCATCTCAGACATTTCATCTTTGGCATCCAGTTTCTGCTTCAGAGAATATAGCAGGTTTTTGTAGTACCCGTCTGCCTGTTCTTCATCTTTCCATTCAAAGAAGCTACATTTCCTCAACCTAGTCTATAAAAAGACAATAAAATTAGGGTTTGACTGACAATCACAAATCAACTACCTTTAATGTACCAGCGAAATGGGTTTTATTCACAGTGATCGTCAAGAAGGAAATAAAATTAGGGTTTTTAACAGATGAAACAAAATACAAATACACCATTGTCGTTTTTACCAAAAGAAACAACACATCAAACCATAAAATACTAACTTATCAAAATCAAGAGAATCGGGACCTACCATACTGTTTTGACAATTCCAGAATCGCCTCCCAGGGTTTGTTATCTTCCAACAGTTCGTTCTTTAGCTGGAACGACACAATCACAAACCTTTACCCCTTCTTGCGACTGAACATGAGTGACTTGTAGCTG